TTCCTCCTCCTTTGTGTTTCTCAATATGGGAATGAACCTCAGGTTTCATACTTGTTAGTATGATCTAAGTGTGTTCTACTGTTCATAAAGTTTTCAAAGGCCTGTTATTTCACAATTGGATGGCTAATCTTTCTTTCTAGCAAGATCAAATGGAAGCTAAAGAAAATTAAAACAAATCGACAGGAACCAAAATTTGACCTTGAGTCTCTCCCACCTGAATTTGAAACAAATCTCAAGAACAGGTTTGAGGATTAATCAACGAAGATCAGATGACCTATGGAAAGATATCAAGAATATCCTCTATGAAGTATGGAAACGCTCATTAAAAAAACACAAGAGGAAGAAAAGACCAAGACAGATGTTAGAAAATATCTTGAATATTGAACTAGAATGCTGAGAAGTTAAAGCAAAGGAAAGAAATTAGGAGTTTAAGAGGCTGAACAGAAAATTTCAAAGGGAAGCTCCTGTAGACAGAAGTATTATGAGGAAATATGCAAAGAGCTAGAATCAGAAAATCATTTGACATTTTTCAGTCTGAAGGAACTGAAGAACAGATTCAAGCCTTGACTTGTAATACATAAAGATGTTATGGATTAAATACTTAATGATCCAGGAAGATAGAAACAAGATTAAAGGAGTACACAGAATCACTCTACCAAATAGAATTGGCTGACACAAAAGAATTTCATGAAACAACTTATACTCAAGAGACAATGGTGATGAAAGAGAAAATTAATGCTGCTTTGAAGGAATGTGCAAAAAACCAAGGCCAAGAAATTGATGTAATGCCAGTGAAAGTATTTCAAAAAACAGATGTTGTCATGGACATGCTCATCAGGTTTTGCCAAGAAATCTGGAAAACAGTTATCTAGCCAACTGACTGAAAGAGATCCAAATTTATTACCATTTTTAAAAAAAGTGATCCAACAGAGTGGGAAATTATTGAACAATATCACTACTATCAAATAGAAGCAAAATCCTGAAGATTATGAACACAAAGATGGAATAGTTCATCAACAATTGAATTACCAGATGCAAGCTGGGTTTAGAAAAAGCTATGGCACTAGGGACATCATTGCCAATGTCAGATGGATCTTGGCTGAAAGCAGAGAACATCAGAAGAATGATTATTTGTGTATTATTGACCACACAAAGGCGTCTGACAGTGTGGAACATAACCAATTGTGCTGAGAAAAAGGAGTACTCGATTGTGTTCATTTGAAACCTAAAGTTAGACCAGGAAGCTTAAAGGACGTACTACGGGTTTATTAGGGAAATTAGAAGGATGCAACTTAAACTGGCAACAGGATACACAGGACAGTTTCTGATGTATGCTTGCAGGCCGTTCAACTTACTGGTTTTTAGGACACTGTTCAAAAGCTCTTAGTCCTGCCAATTGAGGTATTTACACACACATTCAGAGGCCTGGTTTTGTTATTGGTTTTAGGACACTGTTAAAAAGGTCTTAGTGGTACTGCAATCCCAGAGGTGTGTGGTTCAAAGCCACCAGATGCTCAACAGAGCAGGAAGGACAATCTCCTCCTGTACCAGTCAGATCCGATTTGATGGTACATGCACCAAAAAAAGAGAATAAAATAAAATTTTTTAAAAAGCTCTTAGTCCTGCCAGTTGAAGTATTTACACACACACACACACACACACACACACACATACACACACATACCCAGGCCTAGTTCTGTTGGAGAAGCAGTCCAGTTCTCATATCATGTCTCTGGTTCTCAGCTGTGGCTGCTGGGGGGTCTTGCTGGTGCAAGAATTCTAGCTCTAAGAATATCCACTCATTCTGTTTTTTGCTTCTTTGTTGTGAAATATCTGGCACTATACCTACTCAATTTAAAGCCACTAAAATGACAAGATTAACCCTCTGCTGGATAGACTAACACATTCTCGTTGACTGTTCCTGCCCAATCATGTGGCAGAGTCAATGGCTATGTCCCCGGAAAGCTGTTTGCAACAATATCCCCAGTAGCCTACAGGCCACTCCCTGGCTTTTAAATCCTGTGTCCTTCCTACATAAGGACAGGATTCACTGTCACCATACTTTCCCCATCTTGCTAGTAACTACATTCATGAAAGCGTGTAAGCCAATTTTACCGTCTGCTTTCATCCTCAGCCTATCTGTTTAAGACAGTGAATTTCTGTATTCATTATCCCTAGACAGTGAATTTCTATATTAATTATCCTTAGATTACTGAATATGCCATGCATGACCAAAAGAACTAGAGGATATGTCTTGGGAAATGGGCATACAGAATGCTACTTGGAACCAAAGATGAGGAAGTTCCATCTTTCATACTTGGGACTTGTTGCTAGGAAAGTCTATTCCTTGGAAAAACTCATGCTTCAGAAGAATGGGACAGCATCACTTGGCGCAGTTCAGCCCTGCCTCTTAGGGCAGAGATTTTACCTTTTTCTAGGTCATGTGGCCACTCTGTGTCTTTGAGATTATGCTGTGGGAGTTTGGGGTTTCAGGGAGGGTTAGTGGGAAGGCTGTTGAAACATTTTCTGCTTTAGCTGCCACTTGGTAGCAGTTCTTGCCCCTCGACCCACCAGGGCTCTACCTTTGACATCAGGTCACTGCTGCTTTTTGGTGCTGTGTGGTCTGAGGGTAACAAGGGTTCTGGAAGCCTGGGACCCATCTGTGATGGGAGTCTCTTCAATGTAGAGGCTTTGGGAGGAACTTCCTGTTTACACTGTCCCTTCCCACCCTAGAAGTTGGGCAGAGTGCTGGCAGTGTCCAAACTGGTTGCTACGTTTGAGTTAGAAACCAGACTTTGGGGGGGGGGGCGGAGCTGAACTAGGTGCATGGCTCAGGGTCTTTGTTTTAAGCTGCTTTCCTGGCATTGGCATCACTGCTTTGGGGTCCTGGTGGAGAGCCCCCTAGTGGGGAAGGCTGGCTCTGCCCTGAGGATGGAGGCCTCCGCACTCCTCTTTTTTGACTATTATTCTTACACAACTTCCGTGTAATAGAAATAAAATTTGTACTTGGAAAAAAAAAAGAAGAATGAAGGTAAAGGAAAGAGAGGAAGGTTCACAATGTGATGGACTGACAGAGTGACTGCACTAACAAGCTATGAAGACGGTTTCTTTTAAAAAAGCCGTATGAAGCACTGGGTATTAGCTGAAGATTATTCCACTGAAGTCACTAGAAAATGCATGTTGTTGTCATAAGTGCAGTTGAGTCGCAGGCTACTCCTAGCAACCCTATGAATGAAAGTCCCGGACACCTCCTGTATAAAGTACATTTCCATGGCTAAGTTACTTCCCCTAGTCCTCGTAATTGTGCTTTCAAGGTTTGTAATGGCCATTCTGAAGGCCAGTGTTGAGATGCTAGAACAGAAACATCAGCCTCTGTATTCAACAAGCAGTCTCCTCCTGTACCAGTCAGATCCAATTTGACGGTACACACACAAGAAATAATAAAAAATTTTTTAAAAAGGACTGAGTTCTTCTCTATTGTTTATGCTAATCTCACGAGAAAGGGATTCAGTAACTAAGAAGGAGGTTGACTCTTATTAAAGAATTCCGTAGTGCCTCCGGGTGAACTCCAGCTTGTATTACGCCTCCCTTCAATCCTGATAAAGCATTTGGTTTATTATTTTTATTTTCGTCTTCCAACAGCAAGCCCCTCTGGAAGTTTCCCAACAGGGGATATCCATCGTTATCTGCCTGAGAACATTCTGAAGACAAATGCTTTCCCGTCTCATACTATAGACACATCTCAGGAGGAAGAGCATTCTTCTTGTACTCCTTTTTATTTCCACCCTCTCTACTCATGCGTTTCTTTCTACAATTTCTTGCAAAATGCCCTATTTGTCCACATGTGAAACGAGACTTCCCTTTACATCCTGAAAGAGCTGCAGCTCAAGAAGTATTAAGAAGACCAACATCCTGGCACTTCCGAATGCTATCTGTTTTAGCCATGGTCCTCTTTGGAAAGAACGTGCTGGCTGGCACTACTTATTAGCTTATCATGACCCAACTGCTGCTCCATGCATTAGCTTCTATAACATCATTCACACTAGGAGAAACTGCATTGGAAATACAATCTACAAAGTGTTCCAAAGGTTCAAATGGTTCTTGTTAAGACTTTTGTAAAACTGAAATGACCTTCCCCCTTTGCTGGTAACCCCATCCAAGCTTCACAAGCTGCTTGTGCTATTTCCTGGTCTGCCTGGAGGGGAGAGCCTACTTTTTTTATTAACTTCCATGTATGGGGCTGTTCCTGATATTTCAAAAGTTATTGGAACATTATGCTGTTGATTGTGCACTTTATGCAAAAAAATCCTGATAATACATTTTCCAGAAGAAATCATTTCCTCCTTCGAAAGCTGCTTTTGTGAACTGATACCAATCAAAAGGCACTAATACCTCTCTAGCTATACAATCTAGTTTAGCCTTTACAAAAGGAGTCGTACCATAAGGAGCTGTTGCCTGTTTTAAGTTTTTTAACTTTTTTTTTTACCTTTAGTACTTATGTTTATAATATTTGGGTATGATTTGAGGTTAGAATTATCATGACTTAAATCTTATTTTTTTTTTAAGAAAAAGGATTATGAAGTCTTAAAACACTGATTAGGATTTCCAGGAACTGGTTCTTCCATCATAGGGAAAAGATGGCTTCTTCTCCGAGAAAACACCAAATGCGGATGACACTGGTGCACTGGGAGGGCCCAGAGGCCCCAGAACCCTGGGATGGGAGCCCGTGGTGGTTTCCAGGTCTGCAGGGGTCAGGGCTATGGCCGTGAACAGGACCTGAAGAGCTCAAAGAGGCAAAGCTGAGGACAAGGAGTGACTCGCCGTCACCAGACTGGGCCGTCTGGTCAAAGATATGAAGATCAAATCATTGGAGGAGATTGATCTCCTCTCACTGCCCATCAGGAGTCTGAGATCATTGACTTATTCCTGGGCATGTCCCTCAAGGATGAGGTCTTGAAAACCATGCCAGTGCAGAAGCAGACATGTGCAGGCCAGCAGACCAGGTCAAGGCCTTTGTCGCTATTGGAGACTATAATGGCCATGTTGGCTTGGGCATCAAGTGCTCCACGGAGGTGGCTACTGCCATCTGTGGGGCCATTATCTTGGCCAAGCTCTCCATTGTACCTGTGCGGCGTGGCTATTGGGGGAACAAGACTGGCAAGCCTCACACTGTTCCCTGCAAAGTGCCTGGGCACTGTGGCTCTGTGCTGGTGCGTCTGATCCCTGCACCGCGAGGCACTGGAATCGTCTCGGCCCCTGTGCCCAAGAAGCTGCTGCTGCTGACTGAAACTGATGACTGCTACACCTCAGGCAGGGGTTACACAACTACCCAGGGCAACTTCGCCAAGGCCACCTTCGATGCCATCTCCCAGACTTACAGCTACTTGACCCCAGATCTCTGGAAAGAGACTGTGTTCACCAAGTCTCCCTACCAGGGATCCACGGACCAACTTGCAAAGACTCACACCAACATCTCCGTGCAGAGGACTCAGGCTGGGGCTGCGGCCACCACATAGTCCGTTTTATATAACAAATAAAGTGAATTAAGTTAAAAAAAGAGGAAGAAGTAACTCTCCAGAGATGTCTTCACCATTCATTTCTGCCTGAGCAAACATTTTCTGAAAGGCTGATAAGAGATTTTTGTTATTTTGTCAGAATAAGAATCTAGAGGAGAAGCTTTACTCCTGACCTCTGAGGGAGAACAAGGTGGGTGCAAGGCAGGCCATAGCTTAACGCAGTACTGCTGAAACAGAAGGATGTAATGAAGAACGGGAGTCTCGGAGCACTTAATTGTGTTCATGTGAAACTTCAATGAGGAAGCTGTTGTGCACATCACACAGAGGCAGCCCTTTTTACACAGGAGCTGAGCAGACAGGGAACTGCTTTTCAATAGAATCAGAATACCCTAAAATGATTGACATTGTGAGGGCATTTAAACTCCAAGAGACAGAGAGAGCAAGAGCTGAACAGTTTCAAACGCTGTCATCTTTATTGAGGGCAACTGCCACATCTTTCTCAAGGGGAAGGAATTGGTAGGTTAACAGTACTTAGTGTTTCAACCACCATGTTGTCAGGGCTTCCGCTTTTGTGAGCAGACAACCAAGAGGATTCTTGAGGACACAAGAATTAAAGGCGTGGCTACAGCCTTAAATGTTATCTAAAGATTCCACACAGTACGGACTAAGGGAAATCTTTGTGTGAAGTCTTTGATGCAGTAAGAGGAATGACTTCCTTTGGACCAAAGTCGCTGTCAATACAGGGTTTCTTTCTCATATGAGTTCGCTGATGACGGGTAAGCTTATCTTTCCGAGTGAACCCTTTTCCACAGTCGGTGCAAATGTGGGGCCTCTCCCCAGTGTGAGTCCGGTGGTGGACGATGAGGACATTCATGGTGGTGAAGGCTTTTCCACACTCCCTGCACACATAGGGTCTCTCGCCGGTGTGAGTTCGCTGGTGGACGGTGAGGTGACGCCTGGTGACGAACCCTTTGCCACACTCGCCGCACACAAAGGGTCTCTCCTCCGTGTGAGCTCGCTCATGGACAGTGAGGTGACTGCTGGTGATGAAACTCTTCCCACACTCCCTGCACACGTAGGGTCTCTCGCCGGTATGAGTTCGCTGGTGGACAGTGAGGTGACTCTTGGTGATTAGCTGCTTTCCACACTCGCCGCACATGTAAGGCCTCTCCCCACTATGAGTACTCATATGGCGAATGAGGTGGGTCCCCCTGGTGAAGCCTTTCCCACACTCCCTGCACACGTGAGGTTTCTCCCCAGTATGAGTTCGATTGTGGGCAGTGAGGTGACCCCTCGTGATGAAGCCTTTCCCACACTCTGTGCACAGAAAGGGTTTCTCCCCAGTATGCGTTCGCTGATGGACGGTGAGGTGACTGTTTGTGATGAAGCCTTTCCCACACTCCTTGCACACATAGGGTTTCACGATGCTGTGAGTTCGCGGAGAGACAGTGGGCTTGGACTTCGTGGGGAAGCTTTTCCCGCAGTCACTGTACACAAGCGATTTCTTTATTGTGTGAGTTGTCTGATTTCTGTCGGATTTGGCCCCTGTGTCCTCTGATTTCTGACTTTCAAGGTACATCATTTCAGTCCAAGCTTGGCCACAGTCACCGTGAAGCACGGTTTCCTTATTTCCATTAAGCTCCGCAGAGGGCTTTACTTGATTGTGACTTCTCTGGCAGAATACAGGTAAAGTGAAATCTGATTTCTTCGTTTTCTCAAGTAATTCAAACATACCATGGTTTTCCACGACATCAAACTGTGTTTTGTGCTGATGTTGAGTATTTTCCAATGAGTTAAGGTTCCTGTGTTCCAGCCTGTATAATATTCCTTCATGAGACAACAGCCCAAGCAGATGATCATCAGCTTTCTGGAATTCTATGAAGGAAGAAAATAATGAATTTCCACCATCTTTAGAATGAAGCCAGTAAAAGCAAAAAAAGAAAGAAATGACAGAAATATAGTTTGGAACTTCAGTAAGTACATTTCATGGCCTAGAGGTAGGAAGCTGGGCTGCAATCTCAAACGTACATGTTTCAAACCACCAGCTGCTCTGTAAGATTAAGGATGGGCTTGGCGAGCTCTGGTGGCCTAGTGGCAAGAAGGTGCACTACAATCCCAGAGGTGAGCGGTTCAAATCCACCAGATGCTCTGCTGGATAAGAAGGGACAATCTCCTCCTGTACCAGTCAGATCGATTTGACGATATGTACACACACAAAATAAACAAATAAGGATGGGCCACCTCCTTCTATGCTTTTAACTGGCTCTGAAAACCTACCATAGGGTCAGGTCTCACTCAGTAACCAGTCCAAGGCACACACACAAAAATAACAACATTTTGAAGGCTGCCTAGTAGAGTAGACTTGGGGGACGAGGGATTGCATAACAATGAAAGAGTTTCTCTTTTCAAGGAGAAGAGTGAATTGGGGGCAAGGGGATGAGCAGGGAGAAAAGTGCAACAATGAAAGACTAGAAACCCTAAGTCTCTATAAAGTCTCTTTCATTAATTTTTAAAAACCCACCAATGTAAGGGAGCACTGGTGGCCTAGTGGCAAGACACTGCACTGCAATCCCAAAGGTACGTGGTTCAAATCCACCAGATGCTCTGCTGGAGAAGGAGGGACAATCTCCTCTTGCACCAGTCAGATCTGATTTGATGGTACACGTAAAAATAATACAACAAAATAATAAAAAAACCCACCAATGTTTGGATATGAGTGTAAATAAAATATCACATCTATTGTTACATTGTTACATGTGCAGTGATAAAAACAATGGCAACAAAGAAGGAAAAAAAATTTCTGTAGGTAGGATTAAGGCTTGGAGCTGTAGCTTAATCCAGAACAGGTGCTGAAGGCATCAGCTACTCCCAGGAAGATGGGAAATATTTTTCCTTATGATTTATAGCTTTAGAAACCCAGCAGAGGTTGGCTGATGGCAATTAAGCTCGGCTATAATGCATGACGTATGAACACAGACTCGATGGCTTCTAAAATAGGACTCACTGCCATGGAGTTGAAACTGCCTCATAGCTGACCTGTGCATGGCTTTCAGACAAGGTGAGTCACATGGGAGGACACTGTCCATCTTTCTCCTGTGGCAAAGCTGATGCATTTCAATCCTTGCCTTTGGATTTTAACACTCTGCCGCACACTTTTAAAATGACGACCGTGCTTAGAAACACATTTTTTTTCTTCGACGTATTACTGTCATTTGCAGAAACGTGTTAACACAACTCCTTACCCACTAGGCCACAACTGGTCCCTGTGGAGAACGCCAAACACAGGTCAGTTTATGACACACAGATCAGAAGGCTGTATGGCCTCTCAATCTTAACTGGTTCAGGACAGATACATGTACATCATAAAACCTTCATGAACAACAAGTAAATGCCAAGCACAACCAACTAATAAGCATGAAGAAAAATATAATGCCTTAGGAGAACAAACTGAAAATAGAAATCACAACTTTTCTCATAAAAGCAAATGAAGATGTTTATTAGGGAAAGTACTTAGCAGAGGAAATCACAGGAATAAGGCACCCTAGCCTCTGACTCACTGGGATCTGAACCTTTAGAGAACCTCAAGAGTCAGAAACAGAGAAGCTAAGGAAGGAGATGACAGCATGGGGAGAGACCACTTCGCTACAGGGGCACAACAGCCAGTGAGGTTTGCAATGTCCAACTAGAACTCACTGCACTGAATGTGGCTCTGAATTAGGGGACCCTCATGAGTTTGCCGAGGAGGGAAGGCTTTCTGGATAACCCCTCTTTCTTCTGTGGAGCAACTGGAGGGTTTGAACTGCTGACCCTGGGGTTGGCAGCCTTGAGTGTAATGGACTAAGTCACCAGACTCCTTGGTTCGCATACAAGGAAGGGAAATCTATTCCCTTCTCACAAGTAGAAGACGCGCTGAAGCCTCAGGACAGGTAGGACAGAGATTCAGAAGGTGGAATCTTATAATGAGGGAGGCGGGAGGATGTGAGGAATAGAGAGATTTCTAAATCCTAGAAAGAACAATATGATGAATAGAAAAATACAACAATCCCTACAACCTAATTAACTCTAGATTTTAACAATGTGGAAAATTCTTTTCTGAAGAAGGTGTGAATTTTTGGCGAGCTCTGGTGGCCTAGTGACAGGAAGCTGCACTGCAATCCCAGAGGTGTGTGGTTCGAGCCCACCGGAGGCTCTGCTGGAGAAGGAGGAGCAATCTCCTCATGTACCAGTCAGATCCAATTTGATGGTACACACACACACAAAAAAAATAAAAATTCTATAAAAAAATTTTGAAAAGGTGTGAATTTTTAATTTATACTCCTTTTTGAAAGAATAGTCTTTTATCTTTTCTTTTTAAATTTTTATTGTATTATTTTCTCTGTGTGTGTGTGTGTGTACTATCAAATTGGATCTGACTGGTACAGGAGGAGATGCCCCTCCTTCTCCGGCAGAGCATCTGGTGGATTCGAACTGCATATCTCTGGGATTGCAGTGCAGCTTCTTGCCACTAGGCCACCAGAGCTCCCCTTGAAAGAATAGTCTTTTATCTTGTTAACTACCATGTACTTATAG